ATTTTTTAAAAATTAGCCTAGCTTTATAAAATAATCACAATCTAATTTACTTATGAAAAAATTGGACAGGGTAATATACGTAGTATATGGTGATTAGCGTTTTTGTGTGTGTAGAGGAGTACTCGTGATTATCATAGGACAATTTCATTACTATTAACTTTAAGTGTCAACTTTCAGCTGCTAGATCTTAAACTTATACATTTGTTTAGTAAAACTTGTCTAATAATTAAAATTAATTATTAGATTTGTCTAATAAACTCACTTTTCACCTCTAAGATTTGTCTAATGATTAAAATTAATTTATCATAAAAAGGAACTAAATTCAGTAAAAACAATTTCTTAGATGATCTGACAGATGATATTAATGAGTAAAATATTAGATCATTTCATTCTTTTTTAGGCAAAAATGAAGTCCACATGACAGAGTTACAATCAGGTAGGGTCATAGGATCTTTTCATTGTGTGTGCATGTTGTGGAATTTGATTAAAATAAAATGGCCATATGAAACATGCGAATGGAACTGTATTGATTTTTAATGTGAAAAAAAGAAGTGCAAATTACCCACATAGTCTACTTTTGGGTGCAAAATATCATTTATGGCTCAACTGATCTTTCTTTTCATTTTTAACTTTACTGTTTTCAATATTACTTTTTGATTTCACTTTTAGACCAGAATTCTCCCACCCTCCTATCTGTTTCTTGTTTCCGTTTCCTTCCCCTATTGGCTAAAACCTAACCCCTAAATCCATTTAGATTGAAGTAGACTCTGGAGATCGACTTTGGGCGCTGGTAATTCAAGCTCACACTTGCCGATCGATTTCAATCGATCTCCCGGGCTCCGAGACTGAAATTAAAAAAATCGAGAAACAAGGTATGTAGATTTGATGTTCATGTGCAAATGATATGGGCTCGATTCTTGAATTTTGACGTTTGAATCTGAAATCTGAGGGAGGTTTGTGTTTCTACACTGCTGGATGCACCTTCCAAACTTGCACTGGTCGGTGGGGACGTCTATAGGCCTGAAACCGTCTTCTCCGATTTCGTGGTTACTGTTCACTATTGATTTAAGTTTGAGATTGTTCATCAACTTTAAATGCTTTAAATCAAACAGGGGAGACTTCTACGGCAAGAGCTACTCAATCGTCCTCCAAGTTTGATGTTTTGGATAGTACTGTTGACGATTTCCCTACTTTGAACTTTGGGAACCGAAGCTGCCAGACAGTAAGGTTGTTGCTGTGATACCAACTGCTATCACAGCCGCTGGAAAATTCGTCAAGACTGACTGCCCATGTTTCTGCTGGGAAATAGGATTCGGAATTTGGGAAGCTGCTAGAAAAAATATCTGCTGTTATGGTTTTAGCAAGGCCAAATAATTCACTAGCTACGGTTGGGAAAATAATAGGGAACCGATGCATGTTTAACTGCTGAGAAAGAAGCTAGTGCTACTGCTGATAGACGCAAGGTGAATTCTCCTCACCTTAGATGGTTAGTGCTATTTTATTTCCTTGATTGAATTGTAATGGTTTTTAACTGAATAGTTCTATATCAATCCCAACCCATTGTCTTCCTCCTTTGATGAAATTCCTTGGATTTGCTTAGTTATTAGCTTAGTATCGTTGTTCAATTTTTTGTTAGTTTTGTCCGGTTATTGTTGTAGTTTGAATCCCCCTTATAAATGACTTATAATCGGTGATACACAAGTATGTAATCATGTTATTCTAGACATCATTTGTAATTACTACAAGAGTATTTCATTTGTAGGTGCTAGATACTCAAAGATGATAGAACCACAATGGAGTGGCAGATCACTGCAACTCTGCAGATAGGGGAATTACAGGTGAAGAGGTAGCTTTAAAACAAACTCATGTATGTTTGAAGTCCACATAATTTTCTGTTAAAATCTCAAACCTAACCTTAGCTTCAGCCAATATGTTTTTTTTTTTCATTCTGTGAAACTGATTTCATTGCAAATCATTGATCTGGCTGTGGTACTTTCATTATTAGGTGGTTGAAGAGCTCAAGCAAAGTATATACAGTGACTCAGTGAGAGACCTGCCTCACTTGCAGCGGGGATAGTGTAGCTCCAAATGGCTTACTTGCTAAGGTATTAGCTTTCTTTGTGGTAGGGCAGCTATTACAAATATTATTATAAACAATTAGTATACTATAACTGCTTATTTTAAATTATATTCCTACTGCAGACGCATAAAAGGATAAGAAGCACATGAAGGTGATAGTAGGACAAGAGGATCAATAGAAAAAAGAAGACCAGAGAGCCAAGTTTGAGAAACTATGTGCTAAGTATGAAAAAGAAGAGATGATAAAAAGCAAAGCCAAATAACATATTTGATAAATGTAATAAATTGAATTATGTATTTATTGTGATAGTCTTATATGTTATTTTTTGTTGCTTTTTGTTGTACGGTATGTGTTTCTTTTTGTTGCCTTGTGTTTTATGTTGTTGAATTGTGTTGCTTATTGTTGTTTATAGTTGAATTCGATTTTACTTATTTATTTAGGTTTTTACTTATATTTGCTACTTCTTTGGAATAGAAAAATCATTTAGAGATGTCCAATCACCTAAATGATAAATTGTGACTTATGAATATCAACAACAAAAACATGAATAAACAATAAAAAACAAATTATTCAAAATCTGCAACAAGAATAAACATAAAGAAACACAAAGCAACAACATGCAACAACAAATAAACAATAAAATGAAAAAGGAATTAAACTTTGTAACTCCTTACAAAATTTAAAAAAATCATACTTTGTAAAATTTTCAAGTTTCTTACGTTTTTATTACTTTAAAACGTTTATATTTTTCATGCCTTTCAGTTTAATTAAATTTTCTGATTTTATATATTTATAAGGAATTCTTTATTTACGTTTTATTTTATAAAATTTGAATTGATTTTTTGACCTTTTAAGTTTATATGTTTATAGTTTTATGTGCTTTTTACATATAGTATGTTGACGCTTTTTTATTAGTTTTGTTTACTTTTACCTGATTTAATTTTAAAATATAGATTTTTGTCTTTATTGTTAAAATTTAATTACATTTTTCTAATTTTGAGGTTTTTTATTGTTCAATTTGAGTTTTATTATTTGTTAGTCTTTTATTCCGGAGTACTTTTTCTAATTAGTTTCACCATTTCTATTTTTCATTATTCTTTTTAAGGATTTGTTTTGCAGTTTTGGTTTAAAAATCAAAATTAAAAATTAGTAGTGCCGTAGTGGTGATTTATTACTAATTTATCTATAAAGCATTAGTGGGATGGATGACTTCCGGTATGGGAAGTTGGGAACCCAGCTATGTTTAAAAAGGCGGGAGATCGAACGTACGCGTGTACCGGCCGTACGACAGTTCATTTATGAAAACAACAGTTTAACTAGTCTAATTTTGAAAGAAAAATTAAAAAGTGAAAAACGTGATATTTTTTTAACGTTTATGTCTTCTTGCGAAAATTTCCCAAAAAAGAAGAGTCTTTTTAGCCCAAAATGTGGTGACGTTATTGTAAATTTGTAATTATGGGTATCTTAAAATAGAAAATGTATGCTGAAAATAAGTGTACACATATACAATAAGCGTAATCGTAGTTTCCTTAAATGTATAAAGTTATGTTTATATAATTTTATTACATTAGTCGAAACAGTTTTTAATGATATACTCATATACGGAGTACATTACACATCTGTGTCAATTATGTACAGATGATGCACTATCTATATATAGAATATTGCGCATTTACAGTTCAAAAAAATTAGAATTTCGCCACCGCAATTTACATCAAAATTTGATGTAACATATCCAATTCAAGCAATAAAAAGTTTAAAATTTATTCTCAAATTCAATGGGACTCACTAGCGCAAAAATACCTTTCTATATTTTAACATGGGTTCATTTAGGACCGTTGTAATATACTATTAGTCATATGTGAGCACCGGGCCATATTTAATTATTTATAACTAATGAAAGTTCAAGATTGGCGGTGGTGAAGGGATTGGAGAGGTAGGGTTGTTCTTGGGCCTAGGGAGAGGGATTTAGGCTGAGGAAGGTTAAGGGGTGAGGTGGGGCAGAGCAGTAGGTGGTGCCCCCCACTAGGGGTCGCACCTTAGTTCAGGAAAGGACACCTTAGTTCGGGCAGGGCAAGGTCACAATGTTGTCAGTGGCAAGATGGTGGTTTCACTAGGGTGGAGATGTTCAAAACTAACCAAGTCATTGTGCTATTGTAATGTAACTGACCGGCAATTATCACTTTGATCAGCAATGATTATTGGCCGGCGATGGTTACTCGATAGCAGTGGTCATTGATCAGGACCACTATGTCATATCAAACACTGTCAAGTAAATCACTGAAGGTAATTTTATGTCAAACCCTTTCTTTTTCCTCCCACCTTTGGGCTTTGACCTTTCCCTGGATCATCTTCCTCCCGTTCACACATGTTAGTCAAAAATCCGAACAAGCAAATTTGCATAAATATGTTAAGTGTATAAGGGTGTGTTTGGATCTGATTCTTAAAACTGCTTCAGGGAGCAAAAGCAAAAGCAAAAGTTGGAATGTTTGGATGAAAGCGCAGAAATGATTCTGGTGCTCTCATTTACTTCTAGAATCAGTTTTTTAGAAGTTGGGAGAGATCAGCTTCTGAAAACCGATTCTGATTTATAAAAGAAGCAGAAACAAAAGCATAATCAAATCCAAACACCACCTAAGCTTGACTATTAAATTCAACATTTTCAAATATGAACTTCGTATATACTTATAAAATCTTGATAAAATCCTTTCTAGAAGTGTAGAACACACTGAGTTTTGCCCCGCAGTCATCTTCCATTTCCAAGTGGTGAGGATCCTTTAAGAAGCTTTTCAGGTATTTCTAATAGAGTAATAGGTAATTATGATATGTAAACATTACAATTTACAATTTACAAAGTTGGCGTCATCATGTGTGTTGTGTATTCTTGTATGGGAGTTTATATCAAACTCCACGGCACAGCTTATAATCCAACCTAAAGCTTTGGAATTAATTTTACCATATCTTTTATGAAATCACAAATACATACTGCGTATATTAGAAAGAAACTGTAACAATACCTCAAACTTGGTATCATTGAAATCAAAGGTGTATACGATACGACTTGGTCTTCTATCATGTCACTACAAAATTTATCTGATTATACAATAAATATCCAGCAAAACTTTATCTATGTAGGCCTGCACTTTTTTGTCTTTGAGGCGGTTGCTTTCACACCGCCATCACCGTTGCCCTTTTTCGACTTCTTCCGCTGCTTATTCACACCATCAACACGCTTATGGTCTGTACCGTGCTTTTCATGAGGATTCACATCCTCATATTTGATAGGTTTTATGATCAAACCGGCTTTCTTTACCACCTGAAAGAAAATTTCAGCGGATTCAATCATTTGAAGCCGGAAAAAAAAAACTCATCAAACTGGCCTCAGTTTTGCGGCTTTAGCAAATTGAGTCCCTCCCTGCTCAATATTAATAAAACTATATCCCTGCTTGTTCTCAGTGGCAGTTTTAGCTAAACCTAACTACCACGAAGAGGAAAAGGCAATGACTGTTTTTCCAGAAGCTTTTTACACAATCAGAAGCTTAACTGAGGAATAAGAAAAACCAAATTACACAACAAAAATTAACTGCTATGTGAGAAGCTTTTTATGAAAGGGAGAGAGATGGAATGTCTCCGAATAAATACCTCTGGCTGATTAAGTGCAGCAACTGCTGTTATTGGGTTGAACTCCGGTCCAATTGGCATCCTAATGCTCTGTTCAAATACTTCTTTGGACGTGTAGGGATATGGCAATGTCTTTGTATGTAATTTTTCAGCCTGTAAGAACATATAGACACGATTGAATATGGAGTGACAGATCACCAAAATACTTTAAACATAACAAGTCAGGTTGAAGTTTTGAATGAGTTAAGTCTCCATTTATAATTAAACATTTTCATAATGTTTATTTCCTCTGGAATGGAAATATATTTTCGAGGAAAGATTGTCATGTGTTTTGACTTTCAAGTTATTTTGTGAACGGTTTTATGTTTTCTATTTTTGCAGGTAAAACAGTGTATACATAGGGCCTATATCAATGGGAAACTATAGAAATTGAGAAGAGAATGAAGGTATAGTTGAAAAAAGATACCTTTTTATCCAGCTTCTCGGAGATTATAACATGATTAAGACGGGCATCCTTCCTCTTCTTGAGAGCTTCTTGCCTTTTAATTTTGGCATTCTCATGTTCCTCAAGCATCCAAGAAGGTGGACCTTTCTTTTTTTGTACACTTGTCCATTGACCCCACCCAGGAAGTAGAGCAGGCTTTTCGGGTTCTGGAACTTCCTCCTTCAAAATATCCTGTTTTTCTTTCTCGAATTCATCTTCCACATCATCACCTGCAAATGCACGCCGGATGAGTTCTTCCTGAGACGGGAGTTCATATCTTGACTTGACCCCAGAAGACAACATCCCGTCAACCATCTGTCCTCCACTATCTGTATCACTTCCACCATCCATTTCCTACAAATATGGAAACTCAAAGTCATGACAAAAGAAATCCCGCACAAATGTTGTACCTACGGCTTCGTTTGGTAGCTTATCTTGTTTATTCTGCTTATCAATAGAATAAGTAGTTTAAAACTTGTTTATTTGGCTGAAACGGATGTTAATATATTACCGATCAGTTTTGCTTTAAGAAAATTCAGCCAATTCAGCCCAATTCCCCTTACCAAATGGACACTAAATGGCACAAGGCACTTGTCAAATGCACATTAGATATTTACCTCTGATAGTGGAATCTCTTTAGACTCAGCAGCAGAGGCATTCCTTGAGAGTTTCTGTCCATTCATATTAGATGGTTGTTTCATCTGCAAAGTATCCAAACATGTAGTTACATAAAATCTGTTTGAAACAAACGAAGTAAAACCAAAGAAGATGAAGGCAAGCAATACAAACCTTTTTAATTTCCTTGGGTGCAATAATTGCTACTTCATATGTTGTCTTTGGTCCAGGGTTTTTAACAATATCCTCAAAAGTCTGAAAGCTCGTAAAAGTTAGAACCAACATCACCCCTTAGAGTAATAACTACATGATTAACGGAATGATAACAGTAAAAACAATTAGCTAGTTACAAACAGACGGTAGTTATTGTGCTGCATATGACAGATATTCAATCACCTTAAGAATGGGATCATGATCCATCTCAGACTCTTCACGGAGTACATTAAGATCCAAAGAAGCGTCTGCTTGAGTTGTATTATTTTTGTTATCATGTCCATCATCTATTACTTGATCATCACCCAAGCCTTCACTATCACTGTCATCATAATAATCAACCGTTTTCATCTTATTCTCATCACTAGATTTTTTATGAGCCTGATTATTCGAAGCACCAAAGGCTCTCCTACCACTCAAAACATTTATTTTCTGAGTTCCAGCAACACCTTTGTCCTTCAACTCATTCAATGACGCTTCATACTCCTGGAGAGCCAGATTTGCTTCTTTATCAATTGCATCTTTCTTTCTTTTCAAACTGCGAGCCTGCCAAAGTGGAACCCATATAATATGGAGCACATGACCCGATATTTTTTTATTATGGAGCACGATTTGTAGATAAACTATTTGTTTAAACTATTATGGCATTAACATTATTGTTATTTAATAAATCAATTCGCAACAACGCATATTTCAACTTAACTATAATTTGAGGTTCAATGGACCCACAATGACTAAACCAGACCTGAATAACCCGAACTTTAAAAGCCAAAGTAAATCGTTAGGGATGGTTTTCAGCATAAGAATTAGCAACCGATTTTTTTGGGGCTCTTTAAGACTCAAGTCTAGAACAAAACAGTCAATGAATCTAGAGAAAATGCAAAAAAATACCATGAAAGGTAAAGACAACAATCCTGTAGGAGGCAATTCATCTCCCTCTTCGATTATTTTAAGTGTCTTCTCCTTGGCTTTACTTAACAGTTTAGATTCAACATCCCCATCTGACTCAGCTGAAACCTCATCAATGCCATCTTCATCACTGCTATCATCACTAGTGCTACTGCCCTCATTCATGGAGTTCATCTTCCTAGTTAAGGCAGCATGCTGGTTCAGTTGGTCAGTCAAAGCAGCACGTGTTCCTTCATCTTGTACTGATAAGCCACGTTTAATGATGCGTTTTGCCCATTTGGACTTATTCTTGTGTTTCAGAGTCATGCGTTCCTGAATAAATTGGATTTCAAAACATTTTAAGCTCTAAAAACAAGATCTGAGAATCGCATCTGTGACAAGTGAAGTAACTATAGTTACCTCAGCCCTTTTGAACTCTTGTTTCATAGCCAATTCTTTAGCAGCTTCTGGATCTGTCTCAGCAGATGTGGCTGCTTTCAATCTGTCTTTCTTTAGTAACCGATGATATGCTTTGGACTTGATGTTCTTTAGTCGTTTTGCTTTCACTTCATGGCGGAAAAGAAGACTGCGCATTTTTGCTAATTCATTTTGACGTCCCTTCACATCTTCAACGCTTATCTACCAAATAAATAAGAAAGAAGATCATTTATAGGGCTCTGACTTCTGATATTCACGCCCAGATACACAGCTGTGGAAATGTGAGTTGAGAATTGTAATATTAATTGATCTATAATGGATGCTATACCTTATTTAACTCAAGAAGCCTTGCACCATCTTTTTTATGAGCTTCAACTATTTCACTGCCACCAACCAAAGAAGCAATTTTCCTTTCAAAATCTGTTCTGGGTTCAAAATTTGCAGCGATTGCACCTACAGTAGAAAACCCCAAATCTAAGTCTTCATCAAAAAAGATAGTAGTTGCTTCTCTGTTTCTCTTGACCGATGGTTCCCATTTACTAATATCCTTTTTCGATTGTTCATAAGCAGCTTTTCTTTCCAACCTTTCTTGATCTGGTCTAGGGAGAGGTGCGTGAATGGATATAGCCTTTTTTTCCATTCTTTGTATGTTCTTCCTGAGTTCGCTGTAGCCCGACTTCCCATGTAGGGGATCTAGAAGGTCTGCAATACTAATCCGGCCATCGCCATCCAGGATATCACGACTGGGGTTATATTCAGACTCTGGGTAAGCCTCAGTTATTATATCATCACTTCTCTTCTTCTTACCTACCAAAGATCCATCTTTTAAATGTCAGAGCACTCACGAGTAAAAAAAATTGCAACCTTTGAACATCAGGGGAATAAATAGGGATAAGGAACGTATGCATGCCCCTAAAGTATACTTCATATATACTCCCTTCGTCCCAAAAACTTTGCAAAGTATTGAATTTGTGGTTATCCTTATTTCTCTCTCCTTTGCACATATCTCAACCACGCAGTTTTTACTTTTCTTACCCCACACCCAAATCAAAGTAGGCAATGTCCAATGAGACGGAGGAAGTATCAGAGAACATAGATACCCTTAAGTCTTCTTTTGGAAGAACAACACACAAAATTGTAAAATTGGAACAAATATACCCTTGAAGCCCACTATATCCAATAGTTGAGGGGTACATTCGTGCAAAAATATATACTACCTCCGGTCCCAAATAAACTTCACACTTTCCTTTTTTGGGCATGTCCAAAATAAAGTTCACACTTCTACTTTTGTCAAGTTTTAAATATAAAGTTACCTTTATACCCTTATTTTATTACGTACTTTACACCCACTTTCTCTCTCGGTCTCTCCCACTACATCAAATCTACTTTTTGTAGGGGTTTAATAGGAAAGTCAAAAGCAAAAATTATACTCCGGAGGGAGTATAAATTACCCTCTGCACAAACCTCAACCACACAGTTTTTACTTTATTATTCTCCATGCCGGTCAACTTTGGCAGAGTTTTGAGGGACGGAGGTAGTACTTTCTTAAAAACTGTAAAGTCAAAGTGTGGATTTTATTTGGGACCGGAGGGAGTACTTTAAGGGTAATTTTGTTTCAACTTTACACCCACTATCTGTGTTTAACTGTTCCACAAATGCTGAGGAGTAAATGTGTTCTCTACCATATAGTTGAAAGGTATCTTTATTCCCTAATGCCAAAAAATACTCCCTTTGACCCAAAATGAAAAAGTTATCTTATACGGAGTAACTGACAATGGTACAATTAGAATTAATTAAAACTTACATACTAGCAAATACATTAAAAATTGATATTAATCACAAACGACTAAATATCAATATGATAAAAATATGATACATAAAAAAATTGGAGAACATAAGTGAAATGTGTTAACCCGTGAACAGTATGTCAATCCTGGAATGCAGGAGATTCAAAGGCATCGAGGTAGAAATGTAGAACCCTCCGGCACAAATGTAAAGGATTACCAATGGAGTTTGGATTAAAGAACATGTAAACGATTAAGGCAAAAATATATGAAGTATTATCTTTACCTATAAATGCATCACTTGGCAAACCAGTTATTCCCTGCAACATCCTTGAATGTCTTTCATCAGCATCCTCACCAGCATCATCACTGTCTCCATAGCCTTCATCATCATTATAGTCTTCTTCATCAGATGTCACGACTGCATTCTTCATTAAAATGAAAAAAAATAAGCTTTATCTGCAAAACTCCTCATATAACAGACTAAGTGCACAGTTGTAGTCCTCCATCTTTTAGGTACACTCGTTTTTACACTGATGTTTCCAATTATTACAACAACCAACAACCAACAACCAAGCCTTTCCAAATAATGCAAACAAAAACTGAAAGGTCTACTAAATAATTTGATTATGAACTTCATTACATCCTACATATTATAGTCTTCTTCATCAAATGTCACGACCAGGTTCTTCATAAAAATAAAAAAATACGCTTTATCCGCAAAACTCCTCATATAACAGGCTGAGTGCATAGTTATAGTCCTCCGTCTTATGCGTACACTGTTTTTTAACTGATGTTTTCAATAACAACAACAACCAACAAGCAAGACTTTCCAGATAATGCAAAAAGAAAAGTGAAAGGTCTACGAAAATGGCTCTTTTGGTAGTTTATCAACTTCTACTAAATAATTTGAGAAATAATTACATAAATATGACCAAAATAAAGATGGTTTACAAAAATATGACTAGTTACTAGAGTAGTAATGAAATCATAGTAATTCATGTCCAAGTTTTGAACTTAAGTTACCACAACACTACGTTGTATTAATGAATAGTCATATTTATGTAAACAAGTTTTATTTTAGTAATATTCTTGTAAAAAAAACCATAATTTGATTCTGAACTTCATTAGATCCTACATATTATCTGCACAGCAAAACATACAAAATGAGGATAAAGATCACATCTTCAAACGTATTCAGAAAGATACCTTATACTTTGCAGGAAGGTCTTGCAGCTCACCAAGGTAGTTATCTACAGGATCATATCGTTTATTCTTTTTAGATTCCTCCTCCGCAACAACTTCTTCATTCTCAAACAAATCATTATCAGCAGCAAAATCGGAGTCGATAGAATCAGTATCTGACGCGTTTTGAAGAGCAAGTTGCTTCCGAAGTACATTTGGCAAACCGGGCCCATAACGTCTCTTTCCTCCCTCCCCTTTTTTAGATTCCTTCCCGCGACTGAGCTTCCTCCTCTTGCCTCTGTTACCCTTGGCTCCTTCCTTGCCTTCCTCTTTGCCTCTCTTCAACTTCCCCATTATTCAGGACAGGGGTGAATCTAACATTTCAATCCACCAAAAAAATTATATATAAAAAGTAACTTCAATAGCAACAAAAAAGTAAGGTCATTACTGGATAATGTGAGGTCGTCTTACAGTTAATCTGCAGAATTTTGGCTCTCTTCCGTAGGAAGGCAACGCTGCCAGCATATTGGTTAGTCATTAAACTACAGCTTATTACAACTCCTTAATTAACAAAATTATTCATCGTTTAAATGAAAGAACAGATAAAGAACGAACCTCAACAACACCCTCTAACTCTCTAAGCTTGACCTATTCACTGCTGATAAGATAAAATAAGATATGTAGGAAGAAACAAAACCAGATGAGATAAAATAAGAAGACAGTTAGTAATAATCAACTAACCTCGGGACTTTAGACGAACGGCGTGGCGTAGACTGCGTCCGACCTAAGGGGAAGAGAAGATGGAAACAGAGAGGCCAATATAGCGTACGACCGTCTGACTGAGAGATGAGCAGAGATGGTAGATCAGAATGAATTGGGCCGGATCAAACACTTTGGGCCAATAACTTTAAATCATACGTAGTACTCCCTCCGTCCATACTCCCATTGGACTTTGTCAACTTTCCTTTTTTGATTGTCCCAAAAAAAATTGCTACTTTCCTATTAAAGTAATTAAGTTTTGATTCTACACATTTCTCTCTCCTATGCACAAATCTCAACCACACAGTTTTTACTATTCTTATTTCTCACCTACTTTGCACTTGGCAAAGTCCACCGGGACGGAGGTAGTATAATTTGACAGATTTTATATGGAGTATTGTAATTTGATAGATTTTATATGAGCCCAATTTATTGAAATTGATGAAAACTTTGGTAGAATAGGGCGACTTCAGTAATTTTCTAATTTGCGGAAATATAGAATACTTTATGAAAATAGTTACAATGACTTCTTCAGTAATTCAACTACAAATTTAACTTAAAAATCACTGACGTTGATTAATATATAATTCAATGTGAAAAAATTATTGATTTTGAATGATAAACTAATCTAAAATGACTGATAAAACTAATAAGTTAAAAATATTAATTACCAAAACAAGCTCCTAATAGCTTTAAGCTGGAAAGTAAATGTTTGAATTAAAAATGAAATTTTAACACTAATATATTTTGAAATAAACTAATCTAAAATCTAATGTACGTGTATAACTCACTCACATCAATAAGTATTAAAATATTTAAAGAAATTTTATAAATTTTTTAGCCACAATTTATTATTTTACATATGTCATGTTTTATTAATCTTGAGTTTTAGTGTCATTATAGTTGTCACTTTCTTACCTTAACTGGTGACTACAAAAAAATGTTGTATTATGGTATTCATTAATTTGAATTTAAAAAGTTCTATAATTTAATTTCAATGTTATTTAGAATAATTAGAGCGTGTGAAAAAAACTTGCAAGGTTGGAAAAATATTTAAACACTCTGTTACCATGTGCTACACATACTCTCTATATTAATATTTAAATTTCATGTGATGTGGAATGGAATTATTTGTGTCATTTAATCGATGCAAAAATCACATCTGATTTATAAAAATGTTTTAAACTAAAAATACATCTTTCAACAACTTCTTCTTCACACGATATGACTTCTATACATATTATGAATCCGGTTATAACATAGTGGATTATAGATGTTATTAACTCATAGGTCAATGGGTGCATCCTCTCTTTCTTTTCTCAATTTTAGTATTTCATGTGGAACTTTCTCGTTTAAATGAGACGTACACGCTTATTTATAATTCCATGGGAGAACTTCCAAAGATAAAGAACTTCCATGGGGAAATTAATTATGTAAGTAAAATGCAATTTTTTATGTGGTGAGGAATTTACAATTGTTACGCGCTTGTTGCATATTTGATTATTGTGTTAGCGCATGTTCTTATTTATTTAGACTGGACTGAATAGTTAAAGAATGTTGACCGGTGGAGCTAAGTATGACATAACTTGGATATCTGATTCTAATGTTAGATTCACAATTCCACGTGAGAGTGAGTTTAGGAAAGAAAGTTCTAGTTCAACTATAACACATGATATAATTGATGTGGCGTGTATACCATTCTGATGTGATATTATTACAAATCATGGAGAAGACTGCATATATGGGAGTGCCGGCAATGGAGAAGAGTGTCGGCAATTATTACAAACCATGTGTTGCAGCAAAAGAACTTGAAGAGACATTTTTAAACAACGTGCAATGGGAGTTGCTTAGTTAGATTTTTTTTGTTTAGTGCATATGATTTTAGCATCTATCTATATATGTTACTGGTAATTTTTGTCAGGTTTCAAAGGCCAGATTTTTGTACTACAAACCACATTTAATACTTATTATTGTTATTATTATTATTACTATTATTATTATTGTTATTTTTTTTGTTGTTTATTATTATTATTACTGTTATTATTATTAATGTTATTATTATTATACATTTGAGCCTTTCTTCCATGTTTTTTGTAAGGGCATGTTTAATTTTAAAGTAGATAAACCAACTTGTAATTGGTACATTGTAGGTGGCTTGCTATGGAGGGTTTGATTTTTTCATGAAACATAAACGTTATTGGGGAGAGTATAGTAAATGAGGTCTTTCACTCTTACGTTTAGGCTTGGTCCTGACATTTTGTGGAAACGGGACAGTACAAATTGTAGGCTTATAACATGAAAATAATTTTTATTTTATTATAAAAAACTATAAATAAAATTAAGCAATTTTGTCTTCCAAATGACGAGTATAACCCATTACAGAAAGTAATAAAGCAAACAGTTAGAAAATTTATATTTAATTTGATAAGTTACACTCGAGAACTTCATGCACCTAAATCGGCCCAAATGAAATCAGTTGTACAACTATTACTTTCAATATTGAATTTTGAATCAAGGAATGACGTGAAAAATATATCGTATTATTCGTATAAGGAGTATCTTTTTCATATCTCAAATCATGTTATTATTTTTATATATGCAATATCGGTGTCATATGAAAGACAATAAAAATTTACGAATTTTGATTTATTTTTCGTCGGTGTACAATTAAAAAACATACAACACTTTTTTTTTGCTCGAAGAAGACTTAATTCATAAAAATAGTATTCAACAAGGGTACAGAACTAGAAAAAAACCGCAAATAACCATCTGTCTGTGGCCGAGACTGAGAGCTAACCACCTGTAAAAAAGAAGTATAACTCGCTAGACCAAAATTGGGCAACTTAGAGCCAATGACGGTTACCGCAGATTTTTCCTCCCCCAACCTCAATGCAAGAGTCTTACAATGAATAAAAGTACCAAAAATAAATAAAACAAAGCAACCTAATTTAAGATGACCAAAGCAGATAAACAAAAAAACACCAAAACAAGTTTTCTTCTCCACCACCACCCAAACAATGCACGGCGGGTCTAAGAGACTTGACCCGCCCCTTCCCCATTTTTTGACCCGTCCAGAGCCATTCCTTCGCCATCCACACCCTCTTCAGCCTGATCGTCCCATAACCTCCTGCGCTTCAAATCCCCATGTGGGTCTTCCTTGTCTTCACTTTCGTTCGGTGGTGACTTGTTAGTCTTGGACTCATCCATGTGTTCTCCCCCGAGATCAGACTTCCGCTGACTTCCATAACCATCTGAGCTAGAGGCTCCATCAGGTAACCATTTATTAAACCCTGTAGGGCTGGTCTTTACCCTTCCACCTGCTCTAATCTCCGCCTCATATGTTTTTTCAGCTACAAAGCCTTCTTCATATTTTAACGGACAAAACTTGTCAGAGTGACCAATAATACCACAAATAAAGCAAAAATTGGGTAGTTTTTCATATTTAAAATCTACCCAGTGTTTTACTCCATCCTATGTCAAATTAGTCCCTCGTTTCAAAGGTTGACGAACATCTAAACTCACTCTTATTCTCAGATAGGAACTCTACTTTCCATCAAAGTGACTCATCTCAAATTTAATAAAAGAGCCTATAAAATTACCAATTTTTCTAGCAGATCTCAGATTCCTATATTTTATAGGGGCATTATGAACCTGTACCCAAAAGCTGGCCTCAGATAAATTCATTGATTTAGGTATATCACCAGGCTGAACAGCTTTTAACAATATAAAGTCTCGTTCAAAAAGCCAAGGGCCTTCCTCAACCACACGGTTCATGTCCAAAGCATGATTAAAGATTAATAGATACCTGCGTTCACCAATCTCCTTGATAGTCATACCTTTCACTGGCCTCCAGATTGATGACATCAACTCTTGAAAACCTGATAGCTTGATTTTTCGATCAGTGATGACTATCCCCACTACCGGAAACCGCTTCGGTTCCTGCTCCTCATCGGCATCTTCCTCTGTCTCCTCATCAAAGTTCAACTCGCTCTCCTGATCCTTCATTGATAATTTCTTATACGAAGCGACGAAATCATCCATGTAGCAACCTTCGCTCACCCGCGTCGACCTTCACTCGCGTCGGACCTTTGCTCCAGCCTCGTCGCAATTCGCTCGTGTCGCCTCCCTTACGCCTCGATCCCAGACGAGTTGAATAGCACTCGTCCAAGCTGTCGTCTCTACTTTGCTGCTCTCGTTCCTCAACCAAAGCCAAGATCGGAAAAACAAGCCTAGCGGCGGCCAAACCCTAGGAGGATCGAAGATTTAGAGAGCGATGCTCTCGCTCCGGGAAACTTTTAGGACTAGATACTCCGTACTTGATAAAATAAAATAAATAAAACATACAACACTTAAAAAACCTAAAATCTTTTTAAAGTGCTTAATTCTATTTTTATTTTTATACACGGAGTATGCAATATGGTGTCATATGAAAGATTATAAAAAAATTATAAATTTTGATATATTTTTTGTGACACTCGGAATATAAATAAAAAAAATTATACCAATTTAAGCAAAACATGTGTTTTTAATTTGATGGAACTACATAGATGCTTGCACCGTTACAAGGAACTATGTAACATTGCCTAAGCCGCCACTTCAAGTGGCGGTTTTCTTAACCCCAGTTTGCCCGAGCAGTATTTCGGGAAATACTTTTAACCCAACACTGTTTTGGGAATTTTTTATTTAACATTATTTTGGAAAAATCTCTAACTAAAATGCACACACATAGATTTATTGAGAAATTATGGGCCCTAATGGAGCAATGAGTATTGGGAGTATGCCATGTTGTCCTTGACACAGAACCGAGCCTGCTTCCATTGAGAGTTAATAATCATGTTTATAGGTGTCTAGATTATAAAAAAAACATACATAGCACTCCTTATATATATTTCACCCTAAGAATAGTTTAGGGTCAAATATCCCCCTAGAACGCAAGTTTTGGGTCATTATTGCCCCGTTTCCCTTCAATAACTTATGCCTAGAAAGTAATTTGATGGTGTTTTTCTTGTTATCAAAGCAATTCTACAAATAAGTTCATTATTTATGAATGATGCGATTTCTAACGTGCGCCTCCAAAATACGACTTAAATATCCTCATCATACCACCCCTATATAAAGTTGGAGATTTGAGT